CTGATGTGGTGAATAGAACTGGTACGTTGCAAGAACCATATCAACGGGAAAAAGTACAATGGCGATATGTCAGGATTTGATCGATTCATGTGAAAAAATCTCTGCTTACAGAAAATGCATACAAAATTATTTAGAACCTTAAAATCTCAACTGCATTTAAAATGAATGTTCAAACGTACATGACTGAGTTACCAAGTGTCAATGAGATGTTTACGCTTATCGCCTTTACAACAAGATTCTCAATTCACCAAATCGAACGTCTTCAAACGAATAAAAATGTATACCCAGCCAATCAGTTACCATGTACAAATGCAGCCATTAGAACCAAAAGACGGACACCACAAAACATTGCGCAATATGCTGCTCTCAGTACTGCATCCAAGACTAGAGACAAGTTCGGCAGATAGTGACGCCAAAGGCTTGACAGGTAACAAGATCATTTTTCATAAAAGTGCAGATGTTGCATATCTCAAATAGGTTTTTCGTAAGGTAGTACGAAAAATGAGAAATCGTATTAGTACTGTCAAAAGTCCAATATGTTTTCAGTGTTCAAACATTCCTTGCCACTTTACTGTGTTCATCTGCAATTCTCAACAATTGCATATGGTCAACTCTGCACATTTTTTTTCACTGTCCGCTGAGCATTTGGCGAAATGAAACTATGAATGGTGGTAGGTTTGGAAAATCTATCGAAACTATAATTATCTCAAAGGATGTGCAGGAGAGTGAATTGAAATAAATTAGTGAATCGGTGTCATAATAAGGTAAATCTGGACAGCATCTTGTCTTACAGTTACAAGTCAAGTCGGCAGTCGTATTCCATAAGGAATTGTTAACGCATTTTGTATGGTCGAACCTGTTAAAGTGTTGATATTGTGCCAAATGGGCATATGGGTATTGTGAAGGCAATTCGAACATTGAGTTTCCGAGAATATTTTAATAACTTTCCACCTGTCAAACCTTCTGCTTAGTATCATCACCTCTATAACCTTCCCACCTAACCGCTACGACAGCACCGTTGCACCAAGATGCCCACCAACCAAAAACAAACGACAAACGACACGACGGAGCAACAGCTACAGTAGCGCATTTGTCATAGACAGAACCCTTAACAAAGTCAACCTCCGTTAATGTGAGTTTATAAAAAACTATTTAAAAATTTACTGTTTGGAGTATGGAAGTAAGTTAATTAGAAATCGCAACGACAAAGGTTGAATTATGAATTCTATGTACAATACGTTCAATTACTAGTAAATGTTACTTGTTACGCAATTGCTTTTCCAGTTTTGTATTATGCCATCCATATGTTTACTAGACAAATTAGTCCAGTAGAATAAAAGCCTAATCATATACAGTCATGTATCATTGTGCTGCTTAAAAAAACAACAGCATTCGTCGAAAGATCTAGCTGCTTCGTTGATTTTTTCAATCTAGATTAGTTAGTATTACTGTAGAGAAGCTTTATTTGTTACACGTTTACCTGCAGCTACATACGTCCATATTATTTAACCTTCGGTGCTTTTCTACCTTAGCTTGATATATTCTGTGGTACCAAAAACTCACTGTATTCAAAAAACAAACAAGCAATCCATCTCGCAACTTAGTAGATTAGTAGCTAGTCTATATAATTTATGAATCATTACAGAGGTACGTTTACGACTTCATCGCGTAAATTTTAAAAAGCAATGCAACGATTTTTGATAAATTTCAGCATAGTAAACGCGATCCAGAGGGTTGACCAAGTTAAGAGTCCTCAAGCTATAGTTGGTTTATTTTAAATTTGTATCGCAACGCCCAATCGACTCCAAGCTAGTGCGGCATCGTGTACAGTACAGTACTATTTTGACGTTTTATTCAGAATCCATCAAGAATACTAGTTATCGTGCATCTTTGTCATACTAGCAATATAACTTTACGGTCAATAACTGATAGCTTCTACGTTAAAAATAAATTTGAAAAATGAGTTGCTATAATGTTAGTTAGCTCTATTTTCTTTTTCGTCGAAAGATTGGGAAATCTGGAAACTGGAGATACTACAGACCAAAATATGTGAATTGACCTAAACATACCTTAGTCCAAAAGTTGATAGTTTGAGAGATACAGGGTGGCAAAGTTACAATTTTATTTTCTATTTTCCCGTATTGCTTGAGAAATATTTCAGATTTTGGCATTACACTCAGTATAGGGAGGTTTTATAATACGGGAAACAAGGATCCGCTTTTTTATGGCCAAACTTCTGAAACGCGCCACTTGGAGCACTATTTCGGTAAATAACTTATCATAACTTTTTTGTGCGACCCTGTATACAACAACTGGCCAAAACATTTTATTTTCCCATATTTCCACAACAAAAAAGGTTTACTTGTTAGAAGTATCTTAAGCTAGTAGTTTTCGAGATATTCGTTTTTAAAAGTTCCAATGCATTATCTGTGGTAAAGCAGAAGAAGGTTTAGAAATTGAAAAAGGAATAGCAAAAAGGAGTAAAGCAGTGGGGGCTTTGAGCAAGATGATAAACTCACGGTGGATATCAAGGAAAACAAAGGAAATGATATATAAATCGGTTATCCAACCATCAGTACATTACGGCAGTGAAGCTTGGGTGTTAAGTCAGAAAAACGTTCAGAACTTGGAAGGCTGGGAAAGAAAAATGTTACGTAAAATATATGTGGGCACAAAAAAACAAAGTGTCAAAGAGGATATACGAAGACTAGGTATACCAGACTGGGGGGAAAGGACCAGAAACAGAAAAGCGTAGAAAGATGATAAAACATTTTTATAACACAATCAAGTTGCTTTGAACGATATCTGAGTAGCGCTGCTTTGGTTTTTAACAAAAACTAGTGAGGATGGAAACAAAACTAATAAACGGAAATAATAACTACAAAAATTGTTCAAAATGAGCACCATCTTGCCTAACACACTCTCGAGCTCGATGAACTAATCTTTGCTGCACTCTCCAAGGCGTTTGGTTATGTTATTTTTATTTTCCTGGCTATGGTGGAAATTTATTTGTCGAAGATCATATACAGTTTCCACTGGCATCTTGTAAACGCGTCATTTTAAATCACCCCAGAAGAAGAAATCCATAGGACTTAAATCTGGTGAGGTGGAGCGCCGTCGTGCATAAACTACATATTCATGCCTGTTTGTAATGGAAGATCTTCCATCAGAATGGGTAATTGTTCTTCAAGAAATTGTAAATACCTTTGGCCAAATGGCCAGACTAAATCTAGATGGTAACTCAACAGGTGCTATTAAATATTGTCCTGTCCTGCTAATAAATTAATTTGAAATTGTACTTGGTGGCGGGTTTGTATTATTGCATGAGGATTTTTGTCTGCATATATGTTAAAATTATGCGAATTAATGGACCCATCCCTTCCAAATCCTGCTTCGTCCGAAAAGTATATTAACGAAGTAAGACCATTATCGTGGTTAAACTCCCTTGAGAGCCATGTACAAAGTTCTACTGTTGCGGGTTCATCATCCGCGCTTAAGCCATGTACTTTTTGCAGGTGGTATAGATGGAGCAGTTGTTCTCGAAAAATGGTATTTACTGTACATTTGGAAACTTGAAATTCCCGAGCTACATTCCTAACCCCAACTATAAGATTTTCAAAGACAGCATCTAAAACATTTTCTTCAACTTCAGCTGTACGTACGGAGCTCCAATATGTCGGCCCATATTTTGAGCAAAACTACCTAAAATCCAAATGGTTTTTACTAGTCAAAATAAGGCTATATTCATTTCTTACCAGTTTCTCGTAACCGCTGATCGATTAGAGTCTTTGAGTTAGGCAGGTGTCTATTAGGGAATCTGTAAGCGTACAATCTTCGTGCTTTTAAAGCATTACACCTTGCCAATCCGTACATTAAATGCATATCAGAATATTCATCAAACGTATACTCCATGATGTTTAGCAACTTATTGTAAACTTAAAATTATTCATGAAGGTTAAAGCAATATTACGACAAACATTAAAAATCCTAGCAACGCTACTCAGATATTATCCAAAGCAGCTTGATTATTATGTTATAAAAATGTTTTATCATCATGGTACAAACAGTAATGGATTGGAACTTTTAAAAACAAATATCTCGAAAACTATTAGGTTTAGGTACCTCTAACTAGTGAACCTTTTTTGTTGTGGAAATACGAGAAAACAAGATTTTACGGTCAGTATATACAGGGTAGCACAAAAAATTTATGATGAGTTATTTACCAAAATAATGCTGTAAGTTTGACACCCTGTATGTCGCAAGCTACTAACTTTTTGACAAAGGTATCTTTAGGTCAATTCACATATTTTGGTCTGTAGTATCTCCAGTTTCGAGATTTCCCAACCTTGTCTGTATACACTATGTTATCAGGTGAAGTAGGAAGAATGCAAGTCGTTTTAATACTCATGAACAATAGCAAGCTCAACAAGAGGCATATTAATATCTAAAGTAAAAAGTCTCACTTTTATGATACAAACTTAGTACATGGATTCGCACCGAAATTAAAAGTGATATTGAACTGTACTTTAGAATTGGATTTTCCATTCGCCTTGCCTAGTAAACGTTAACAACTGTTATCTGTTAAAGTAAAATGGAATTTTTTATCAGATTAAATCCTGTATACCATTGTTTCTGATTAGTGCATAAGATGCCTTTTAATTGCCGTTAAGTATACCTCAAATGTATTATCAAGCCCTAACCAAATTTTGAATTATCTGCAAAGATTGCAATTCACTGGATGCGTTTACTGGCACTCTCCGGCTGAAACAATACAGCGCTTTGCTGTATCCTTAAGTGACAATAAATATGACCTACCAAACCGTGGACACCACTGCGCCCTGCTTTAACGTCCAGTTACTAATAACGCCACCATTACCTAAATGGGATTCTGAACGGAATTCTCTCAAACGGCATCAACTACTCAATCCGTATCTGGTCAAGATATAGCACGATTCAGCTGTCAAATTCAAAATAAACCAATTATACGCCTACTCGCTCCGCTACTGCGCAAGACCAACCAACAAAGAATAACTGTTGACCTTGAAACCATCGTACGTCCAGCTACCCAGCTTCAACACGCACGTCTGCACGTCGTACGGAAAGAACTCGACGTCGATGGCACAGGAGGATTTGTAGACGGCTGGGGGTTGCCATACGACCAGTCCATCGTGGTACACTGTCGCCTTGGTCATCAGCGTCACCTCATAGTTGCCGTCTGCGCTGGAAGCAGACGAGACTGCGTTCGGTGTGACGGTGGGCATTGGTGGAGGATGATTAATTTCAGGGCATGATAAAATTAGGTTTTTCGGCGTAAGGTGATTTGTGCGGTGCATTTGATCGGAATGGTCGTGCCTTCGTAATCTTGAAACTCTTAACTGACCGGGTGCATGATCCGGGAATTTAGTTTGAATACCGCCTCAGTTCATCGATTATCTTGACAAAGTTTGGCATTGTGGGGTTCCAGACCATGACGGTTTACAGTGAGCTTCAAGAACATTAATGAAAGGACACTTCATAGATTCGAAACATACAATTACCTTTATAGGAGCCCTAAATGAAAAATATTCGGACATCATCTAATTTTATCTAAAAGTTTGTTTATTCTTGTAAGGTTAAAGATCAATTGTTTTTCTTTTATAAGACAATAAAATAAACCTTAATTTTAGTCATTATTGAAATGGGTAATAGGGGGAGTCAAAACAAGTCATATGACCAAGAGTCCAAGAGTCAATAGATTTTTGTCTGCAGTATATTCAGATAAGAGATAGACCGGACATAAACAAGACCACGTGATCATCGAACGCTGTAACATTCGGCAGGGACGTATTAAGAGTCACGCAGTACATATTTTAGATAGTAGATGCTTCTTTGCGTAACTTTGTAGTAAATTAGCACAATTCGATGTGTATACGATTGGTGATGGATATAGGATCATGTGGGGGTGGGGTAAGAAATATATAATGATGTAAATATACATAAGGGTTTCAAAATTTTCGCTTCGATTTCCAGCTTCGGATGCCGCCTGATGTTTGGTGAAATACAGTCGAATATAATCTCAAAATGGCGTTTAAATTAGCCTAAATTAAAAATAATCGTATATCTCTTAAAATTGCTTTTAGAATATTGATTAGTATATTTTTTGATTTCTAGGTAAATATGTAACCAAACTAAAACGTTCAAAACGTAAAAAAATGTGCATGGTTGAACATTGTCAGAAAGTAGATTCTTGAATAGGTTTTGCCAAAATGGGTTCAAAAATGTCAATAATTAATTAAAAAATACCGTAGCTTTATAATTACTTATAACTTACCGAATTTGATGAACGACATCTTTTATTGGAAAGATGAGCTTGATGAGCTTTCATCATCGCTACTGCCTGAAGCACCAACGTCAATAATGAATGGCTCGACTTGTTCCTCTAAAATATTGTCCAGTTCCCACATTCTCTTTTCAACTTTGTCTTTCACGTGCTTAATGCAGTTTTCCCATTTTTGCGCTGTTATTAATTCTAGTGCTTCTTTGAAAAGTCCTTTGAGGTCACAAAATTTAAATGTTGTATTGTGCTTAGCTATATAATTTTTAACCTCTGCCCATATGAGCTCAATGGAATTGAGCTCGCAATGGTATGGAGGTAAACGGAGCACAGTTTTATTTTGACTTGCTGCCATTTCGTCAATGGCGTATTTTTGATATTCCGCCTTGTGATCCTTGACAATTCTTAATAATTGTACTTTCAGCATTGCTTCTTCAAAGTTGATATTTTTCGAGTGGAGCCAATTTTGAACATCAACTTTCCTTGAAGCCATTGTTGGGACCTTCTCCATTCTTCGAGAATGATAAGGCGCATTATCCAACACAATTACTGCGTTTTCCTCTAAGTTCGGTAAAATTTTTGAAAACCACTGTTCAAACGATTCGCCATTCATTTCCTCGTGGTAATCTCCAGTTTTCTTAGACTCAAAGCACCACAGACCGTCAACAACAAATCCATCCTTACTGCCAATATGGCAGATAATGAGCCTTTTCCCTTTACCTGGAAATCGAAGTACTAACTGGTGTAGATTTATTTCAATAAGCGAACCTTTTTCAAATGTTTTCATCACATTCAGCGAAAAAACATTGAGACATGAGTATCAGATTGCTATAATTGGGATTATTTAGTCATATTGAAAGAAAGAATATTGAACGTCGTATGATTACTCAACGCTTCACAATTTAATTTAAAGTTATAAACCTTTAAAAAATGAATGATCAGGATCCTGAAATACGAGCAAATATTAATTTTAATTAAAAATTAATTAAATTATAACTTTATAAAGCTTAAAGTATGAATTAAAATGATTAGAAATATTAGGAACGGTACACAATATAAAACTTAGTAACTTTTTTTAAGTTTATAATATTCGACATATTTTAAGATTATATTAAAAAATTATTGAAATATCGAAAACACATAAAAACATGGCTTAAAAAAGTTCTAACAAATGAAAATGACAATAAAACATCCACGCATTCTATCGAAAGTTATAAAAGTTTTGTTACTTGTAATATGTTTTATCTGCCCCCTGGAATTAATGTTTAGAACCTTGTTCCCAAGGTTTGAAAAACATCCGATTGTTGTCTATTACTCGTATTTACCTGCTGGATTTTTTAATCCGGTGGACAGTCCATCTAGAAAGGCCCTCCTGGATGAAGTTACAGAATCATCAACCCATACTTTACTTGTAGTGTGTCCTGCGTTTACCCACGTTTCATCAAGGTAATAAATCTTCCTGTTTTGATTTCTATATTTCCCAATTTTTGTTATATAATCCCTCCTCCATAGCACAATTTCTTCTCTATCCAGTAGTAAACTATTACGACCCCGTTTTTTCCATTTGAAATTTAAATGCTTCAGTAACGCATGGAAAGTTGATCGTTTGAAATTTGGCAACGTTGTATCTCCATTTACCTCCTGCAGTACTTTATCTATAGTAGGTATTTCATTCCTAAAGAAGAATTCATGCACTTTCCTCCTAATCGCATGTTTATCAGCTTCATCCAATGATTTAACAATACTTTTGCGATGTTTACTGGTCATTGGCTCAGAAAAGGTGTGATTTTTTTTGTATTGTCTTAACACATTAAACACTGATGCGCGACACACCCCAACTTTGTGAGAAACCTTCACAACAATTTCTTTGATGGTTGATGCCTCGTTCTCCTCGCGCTCGATCTTATATATATTCAAAATGACCTCTTTCATTTCTGCACTCGGGTGTCTTTTTTTAGAGCGTTTCCTAGGTGGACTACAGGAGTTTACAACTTCATCGGCAGTATCTGTACTACTGGGCATTTTGCGCAAGCAGTTGATAACAATAACAATCAATAACAAGGTATAACAACGACAAACTCAACAACTTAATAAGATAACAAACGAAAACGTCCAAAGAAATATCAAATTGCAATGATGCACACGACATACGTAACACGTCTGAACCTGAATGTGACTCTGCCTTGATACGACTGCTCTGCCGCTCGGCATAGGCATTTAATTGCGAATTGACCAATGAGGGCTCCTGTTTTACGTCGAGACGGCGGCGTTAGCGTGAAAATCACCCGAACCTTTTGTTTACATCCGGTCTATCTCTTATCTGAATATACTGTAGTCAGTAAGTAACTTTCATTAAATTAAATATTTAAAACACACATGACAACAGCGCATCGGTCATCATCACCCTTATCGAACCGGCAATAGATCGCAAACGGTAACAGTGGTCAGTATGTTGTTTTGTTTTTGTTCGCGTACGTCGTCGTGTTTATTTACAATGTTCTCGAATCAAGAGTTCGCCGACATGTTGTTAGTTTACGGTGAAGCTCGTGAGAATTCAAACCTTGCAGCTCAAATTTATCGCCAACAGGTACACCAACTATTTAGAGGAAATTTGCTAATATGATTAGACTAAAAAGTGTAATGTTCCAAGGAGAGAATTCCACACTGTATATGTACAGACATACGTGTATAGCAGGAGAGGGATGCTTAAATCCGAGCCTCTAGTGTGATAATAATAGAGTACAGCACAGTTGGTAGTTTATGAGGGCGTCGTGTATATCTATTAATGTCCAGTCTATTAGTCCCCAGAGGTCTACGCTCTCAGAATGGCTTTATGGCTTTCATGTCCTTCACACAAAACCGGGGGTCGTGCCTGCTAATTTGCACCAGCTAATTTTCTGAATTAATCTTCCTTTATACGGAACATAAATCTATAGAGGATATAGAACACTTCTATACTTTATACAATAGTATATGAGTACTTCCTAATTGCAACACTATGTCTATTTTGGAAAGAGAACGGAGCAGGTCCGGGTTAAATTCAAAAACTTTTATTGTTTTGACTATCACAAATACCGCAAAAATAAACGTAAACTTTCTTCTGACATTCAAGTCCACGGCTTACGTATGCGGAATTTTGCCCCAACTGATACACACATTGTTTTTCTTTTTAAAACCCACACTGCACTTTTTCGTATATAAAGAAGGTGTTCAAGTTTTTTCTTACTCTAGGTCCTCGAAGTTGTCCATAAGTTATTTCAGCCGCAAGATTTTTTTCGCGAAGTTGTGCTTCAGTTGTAATTGGACCAGCCCCATAAACCATCCCTTTAAGTTCTCCCCAATATCAGAAATCCATCGGATTGAGGTCAGGAGATCTTGCTGGCCATTTTCGAGGATCAGGAACATTTCGACTGATCCAGCGATTTGGATAATGTTCATTTAAATACTGAATGACGCCCCTAAAAAAGTGTGTTGGTGCCCCGTCATGAAGAAACCGCAAATTCTGTCTCCGTTGTAAAGGCATGTTGTCTAAGGTCTGTTCCAAAAGTTCTGGTAGGTTGGCTCTTGATCCGAGAACATTGTAAACAACACGCCCGATGCCCGAAAACTAACCACTGTTATCGTTTGCGATCGATTGCCGGTTCGATAAGAGTGACGATGACCGACGCGCTGTTGTCATGTGTGTTTTAAATATTTAATTTAATGAAACTTACTTACTGACTACAAATTTTGGCTTAACTTAGAAAAACTCATCATTTATTTGTTAATTACCCAATTTAAAAACGTTTCAGATTAGATTATAAAAATTAGTAAGATTGTGGTCGATATAAAGCACTTAAAGTTATAAACTATAAAGCCATTTAGCAATCTATTGACTTT